TTGTTTAATAAAGCATTACTCCAACCTCTTATTAGGTGATCAGTCATCTTCATTTTACTTTTTAGGGGTGGGAAGTATCGTTCGATGTTTATTTGTATGCGAGTGACATGTGCAAAGTATATCAGATCTTGGCTATCTGAGTTGATCAGGGTATCCTCGGTTTTTTGGGGTTGCTGGTTTCGTCTGTATACCCCATGTATACAAACAACTTAGTGACTAAGAACATCCAGTATTAATGAATTTATTGAGACATTTTTTGTATACATTTCTCTTAGTGTTGTAAATTGTTCAACATTTCAGAAAAAGACAACCGTTGAAAAAAAAACTAATAGTTTGTTGGGCCTCCGCGACGACTTAAACACTCAGAAACACATATGGGCATAGTTCTAATGAAATGATCCATTTTCTGTTGAGGAATCTCATCCCAGGCTCTTTGTACCTAGTGCCTAAGTAATGATGGATTCTGCGGAGGATGGAGTAAACTGAAAAATAATCTTCCTATAATGTCCCAGACGTATTCAATGGGTCGGAGATCAGGGGATCTAGGAGTCAAAGGCAACACATCGACTTGATGGTCTCCAAAATGGACAAACGTAATTCTGACTATATGTGGTGGCGCAATAACTTGTTGGAAAAGTCGGTTGGTGAGCGTTCTAATATAAGACAACTCATAGGGTTTCATCGCCTCCTGGATCATGTTGCTTTGATGAACACCAAAAGTTACCTGCTTCTATAAGCAATAGCACCCAATACCATAATTATAACTTCTGACTCCCGGAAAATTAAAAATCTCGTCTTTTACCTCGTCGCCTCCTCACCCTTGCATGGCCATCATGCAACCCCAAGCAGAATCTGGATTCATCACTAAATACCATGATATTTCATTCGAGGTCTCAGTTCAGCTGTGCTCTGCACCAAGCCTGTCCACCATTTCGGAGCCTAAGAGTGAGAGATAGGACAAACAGAGGACGATGTGTAGCAACTCCAAAACTGTTAATCGAACGATAAACAGTTCGCATTGTAATAGGCTTCGCATGCTCTCCAAACCATTGGTCCGCAAGAGCCTAAGACGGCACTATTGGTGTGGGGCCATTCTCCTGTCACGCTATGTACCTCTAGCTCTTCGTGTACTGCCTTCCTCATTCCATGTCCGACAACAAATCACCCCTGTATTTAGACTTCTGTGAACCTTGGTGGGCTATATTTCTGACTCTTTGAGTTGTTGAAAATGTTCTCGTCTTCCCACTCTAGTCATAATGACCACAACAGCTCTTCACAATGACATGAAGTCTAATCATATTAGCAAATTTCCCCAAAATAATTGTAAAGTCTGGTTTTATTGATGGAAGTTACTCAAGGGGGTATTTAAAACATGGACGCATAAAATACGCAGACCCATTTTTGTGGGAAAAGTTTTTAGGATTCAACCAAAATAATTGTCAGGAACCGAAAAACTCTTCAAATAAGATTTTTAGGTATTTAAGAGAACTACAGAATGAGACCACAATGCATGTAAAAAGATCCGACTAATATTAAAAAAAAAATTGACCGAAAACCGTGGAAAAATGCGGGTTATGGCTCTTGTTGCTTATGCGAAGATAATTTCACGCAACTACTTGAAATTCTTCATATCTGTAGGCTTCATACTTCTAAATAACCACAAAAAAATTGGAGTCAATTGGTCAATGAGAACTTCTAATTGTTTATCCCAAAATACCTGTGTTTCGGCCATCACCACTAATTTACTGCGTAATATACAGGGTTCGTTCAAAGGGCATTTTATAGCGAAATATATGAGTTTACCTCGCCGACATGAATCACAAACCATTCCGTAAATAATTATTTTTGTGAGAAAAACGAAGATAAACAATTAGAAATTCTCGAAAACTACTTGACAAATCGACTCTAATTTCTTTGTCGTTATTTAGAAGTACGAAGCCTACGAATTTGAAGAATTTCAAGTATCTGCGTGAAACTAGCGTCCCATTACCAACAAGTGCTAAAACCTGTATCTTGCATCGTTTTTCGGCTATAACTTTTTTACTATTAGTCGAATCTTTTTATTTGTGGTCTCATTCTGTGAGTCTCATTAATACCTAAAAATGTTGTTTGAAGAGTTTTTTCGTTCATGGCAACACTTTCGATTGAATCCCCAAAAACACGTTTTCTCATTCTTTGTTGTCGAATATAAAGTTTTCTCATAAAAATTGGTACCCATTTTATGCGTCCATGAATAAATAGCTTGCATCAATAAGACCAGACTGTATAATTATTTACCTTGCCAGGGGTATTTTCGTCTAATATGATTAGACTACTGATTAAATGCCAGTTGGTAGCTACAAAACACAATTATCGCTTATCCATATACGACTTCACTACTTTTTCGCTGTTTCAATTATAATTATATCTTATACACACTAAGGCAGGCACAGGCAGTAATACTGGGAAAACCGAAAGGCGATTTTCTCAAATAATACACATGAATGATCTTTTTCATTATTTTTTCGTAAATAATACTCTCCCAAATTGCTAGATAGTTCGTTAAGGAGAAAACATCACAGGCCTGTGTAATTTGGAGAAGGTTAGCGCGTTATTTTATTTTGTAGTTGTTCAAAACACAGACTGCCATCACAGTATCTCCTATGGGCTTTACCAATCAGTTATGAGCAATTATGGCCCAGAGGACGTAGGGCCTCTGTGTCATCTTCTCTCTCTGAAGATTTCACATAATTGCACACAATGTCCTGCGTTATGTCTATATTATAAATACGGTGTCGTCCGGAGTGTCGTTCCTGAATGTCCATCTAGTTCTACATCGTACAAACTAAACAACAAAAAATCCACAATAACAAAGCCGAGCACCCGTACGATAGATGTCATTTTCATCTAAAGGACAGGCCAATGGGGCTCACATTACACATTTATAACAAAGTACTTGGTTGCCTTCCTAAAGCCAAATACATTTAAGCTCATAACTATATACGTTTACTTTGTGTATTGTATACCTTGCCACTATAACTACTGGTTAAATTTAATGTAATCTAAACACAATTTGATTAGGTAAACAGCCGTGCCATTTATTCGGAAAATAATGTGAATTTATTCTGAAAATAAGCTCTGGTTAGTTTGCCAGGGTAGCGTAGTGTTATACGAGGGAAAAGGGACCTCACCAAATTGAATTCCTTTATCCCTTGCATCAGTCAGAGAGATTTATTTTGATGTATCTGTTTTTAAATAAGGTAAGCATGTTATTTAGCAAGAAACGTCTTGAATTAGTCACACATTTTCGATGAAAGAAAGATGCTGAGAACTGAACTCTGTACAAAATGCGAGACAAAGTAGATTGACACATCAATTCTCATACTTGAGTATAGGTCCACTTTCAAACTACGCATTCGATTCCGCATTCTCATTTGCTGATATTCGCATGACTCTTGGTATTCGGTTTCGCATCCGCAAAAGTCCTCCGACTACTTTGCGAATGTAAATATCAGAAAAAGAGAATATGAAAGCAATGTTCCGTACTTAACTTAAACAAGAAATATAAGTTGCAAGAGATAAACAAAAACACATCTTTTCTTTGGTCTTATAATGAATTCTCATTAGAAATCCTGACTTTTGTTCGTTGAGTGAAGTGAGACAGTCCAAACAGAGATGCAGCTGTGAAATCAGTTAAAGTCTAGCTCATTTCAGTCCAAAAAGAACAACTAAGCATTTTTGCAGTGTGCTGAGAGGGATCGCCGCAAAAATGTAATTGAGAGCAGAGTTAAAAATCTCGCAACTTGAATCTGTCGGATTTTGCACCTTTATCGAATAAACTTGACCTAACTGCTCCAAGTGATGACGAATCTCAATCAACTGAGGTTAGTTAAACTGACTTTTGGTGAAAAGCAACGAATCCGAATACATTAGGAGTCAAGCCTATAAGCTTACATTGCAATGTTTGTCGCCAAAATTGCGTAGTTTTAGTGCATACTTTTGACTCATTTATCTACCAATGCCTACCAAAGGGACAGCGTTGTATCAACATAATAATACTTACCGGACGCTTGTACTGCTCTTTGAAAATTGTAGCACGTCTTGAAATCGTCTAACACAACAATTATCTGAAAACACTCGCACATTCAAAAAATAACACTAAAACTACGAATCTAATGACAGAAGTTTCAAAAAATTTACTTATGTCAATTGCGCTTTGATCCTCACTACAGACTATGAGATGAAAGAGACATGCTCCTTTCATCTAGTCTGAATTGGTATGACTACGTTCAAATTCAGTAATTTGATTAATTACTGTTGTTCGTGAACGAAAATGACTTTCTGATACATTTACCACTATTTTTGACAACGAAAATATAAGCAGCGCGAAATTTTACATTAAAGTATAATACAATATAGTATATAAACTAAACTAAACTATCTTTGTCCATGATCTTCATGGCAATATGAGTATATCCAGAAAGCAGGGAAAGGACATAATAATATTTCGAAAAATAAGTTAAGGTATTAGGAAAAGTGTTATGTAATAGAGTTGTAAGCTTTAAAAAGATTCCTCTAATGGTGACCTTGAGCGTAACCTTCACTATGACCTTCAAGCTCGGAAGTTCAATACAGTTTTCTCAAATGGAAACGCCTATTTCTGGCACGGGGAATAAAAATACCAAGAAACTCAATGTTCAACTATGTCCATGACCTTGACAATGAGCATAAAGGTCATTTAAAGCTCAAATCAATGTTTAATGGGTACATCAATAATTATAACCTCTAAGGTTATTGCAGGATCAGATAAGTCTTTAAGTAAGGTACTGGGGTTTTGTCAAGGTTATCAAACTGCGAAATATTGGGATTAATTTATTGTTACAAACTGAAAAACTGCCAAAGTAACTATTGAATTACCTTGAACATTGAATTACATTCCCTGAAACCAATCTCCTTCATACAAACGCAAAATAAATCACCTATACTTTACATTACTTCCACGCGAGTGGAGTTGCGGATTTAGCATAGTAAGCAATATTTCATATAAAATAGGAATGCAGCAATGATGTCTGGGCGTTATTATAGGGCCACCCAGTTCGAGTTGATATTTATTTGCTCTTTGGCACGATGAGATACTTCATCAACACATTGTTGATTAGTATAATCACACCCAATAACTAATAACTTTTTACAACTTTTAAAGAGATAACGCGTATGTATAGGTCAAATGCTGCATTATGTGAGTCGTTGCTAGTATTGTTCTAGAAGCAAGTTGCCATGTTTGTTAAGAATTTTGTATTGTGGTTTGTGATTTTGGTAGCAAGTGCACAAAATTATCCACCTTTATTACCGGCAGGATACACACCATATGGATATGGCTATCCGGTAAGTACAAAATTTTCTATGCAATGAAGTAGAAATCACGAAGCAAGTATTGCGGACATTTTCCAGTTTGTCTGAGAAATATGGCAGTAATGAGGTCAATCTTGTAGCAACCAAGTATCAATTTTTCAGTCTCCTGAATTCATGTAAATATTCGACTATAATACGGTTAAGCGATGAACTGTTAATGTTAAATTAAAAATGGTATCAGGTAGGTTGAGTGCGTTATGTTCTGCATAAGATAGCCCCTCTGGTCAGGAACATGTATTACATGTCAATCAAACAAGCTCATACAATGAAAATTTATACATTTAGCAAAACGTGTACCATAATGAACATAATCAGGACTTGCCCGCCCATTGAGTAAATTTGCTACCATCTCCTTTCATATCTTTTGCCGATGGCACTCTCCTCAACGCTGAGCAAAATTTCTGGGTGCCAATGAACGCTGCTATGACTAGCCTCCTCGTTCGAAATGACCAACTGCGAAGCACATACACCCACCACTTGGACTGTGAGGCACGTATATCCAGAGAAGCGTTTGTTGGAAATATTTTTATATCATTCTTAAGTATTAAGGGCACATGTGCGGAGAAATATGTCTCATGTGCGAGTAGAATTACCAGCGTAGGAAGCGTATGAATTTATTAACGTCAAAAAATTAAGATGTACCCTCTCCCATACCTCACAACTCCAAAGCTCCTATTTCTGACCAATATAGATCTTTTTTCGGAGCTTTTATCAGGAGCCTCTGAAACGTCAAAAAACGAAGTTTGAGCGATCTCTCAGATATTCAAAAACCACAAAGGTTTTTCGTCCTTGGCATATTAGTAACCCAGTGTAAAAATTTCATCAAACTCCAAACCTTTCCAAGTGTAGACGGGCCAAGGATTAGCGGACAGATCGACAGCCAGGGAAATGTATATTATCATTTTTTGTGGAAGTTCAAATATTATTTGCCATAACAAAAATGATTCTGGTTCATGGCGAGTAATAGAAACAACAGAGAATGGTATTAATATTGCAAGAAGATACTTTCTGTGGTATAAAGGTTTTGCCTTATGATGATTGCTTGAACACATCCAATAACTTGTAGCTTGACTGTGAGACTTTCATTTTTTTTCCTTTCTATTAGTTTTACAGACAACCCTCAGCATCATATTATCAACCTCAAATCCACCAGCAATATGGTGCTGGTATACCTGATACTTACGAGAACAATCAGCCGGTAGATATTATAGATGTCAATCCAGATGTTTTTAGAGAAGAAATGAGGAAGCTAGGAATACTTCCAGAATCAACGCAAGGAAATTTTAATAATATACAGCATCAATTTAACTATGCAGACTACCAGATTCCGCTTAATAATCCGCATTTCAGCTATCCACCATTTGCTGTGGGACCACAACAGTATCAGGTTACAGATTACTCATATATAAACAGGGTGTTTTAAAGAAGAGTGGCTATATTTAAGTTAAAAGATGGCATTTAGTGTTCGAAAGAACAGACAACAGTAAATGAAAAGAAGGAAACAACCTGTACAGTCTACGAAAACCACGAGTACGCCAATCTATTTAACCTCAAAATACTCTCCAAGGCCTTGTACAGCAAGGTTTCAGCTTCAATTAAGATACTTGGTGACCTCAAAGATTTCAATTTTGACCCGGTTTTGATTATACCCGCACGCTAACTCCAGTTCAAATTTGCTTGAATATTTTTTTTAAAATAAATTACTTGTTTTTGCCGGGATTTTTTTTTTGGATTATTCCCAACAAAAAAGGGTTTCATTAGCTTTTCTCTAAAGGTGATTCTTTTCGAGTTATAAGCATATTAATGTCTACAAAGCCCTAAAATAGGTATATTCAATGCTTAAAAACTGTTAATAATTATAATTTTTGAGCTCTCCAGGTATCTAAATCGAAGACTTGCTTTACAAGACCTTACAAGAACATTTTAAGATTACTTCATTTTAAAGCGATTTATAATCTTGTCTGTTGGGCCAAAGTTGGCGAACTTTCGGTTTTCGCAGACTGTAGGTATATCTGCTTTTCAAGCAATATTTAGTGAAATATCTGGAATGCAATTTTGCAGGTATGCTATGTACAAATTAGGAAAATATTAAAAATATAATTTTATATATAACTCATATATGTTGAAATTAGGACTGACGCGGTCATATTATCACGTCTTTGTGTAAGTAGAAACTACTTTGAAATTAATTATTGTTAATTTTTGTGATTCGAAAAGACGACAGTTCTATCGAAAAGGAATAACAAAAAATACTTAATGTTTATATGCATCCGGTTTATTTGAGCAGTGAAAAATTTAGGATGTATTAGTTAGTATTAGCTCATTCTGCTAGAATTTTTATAATCTAAGTAGGTACATACTCAGTAGACATATGTTTTCTGAGATTTCTTGAAAACTCTCTATTTTTTGGCCTCTGAAATAATGCCACTTACCTTTAAATCACCCTGTATAGTGTATTATATATATATAGTATTCACCCTATTCAGGATGAAGTATTGAGTCAGTCCGCTTGACTATATTTTTCAGCCCATCCAGTACGCTCAAACGGCACCGGCGCAGTTTTATCCAGATGCACCTCCATATGGAATTTCAGAATTAAGCAATATTCCTCAGATGGCTTATGCACCTTTCAACGTATCTACCGAAAATATCCAGGCTCCAGATCAACCTAGTGCTCCTTACACACAAAGTGCGTACCAAGTTCCAGCTCAAATACCTCAAATGCCACCAATAGGACATCTGCAGTCTGAGTTTACCTACATTCCAACCTATCAGAACAAAAATCAATCTCCATCACCATTCGCGAAGAAAAGGAGGCATCGTCATAGATATGTAATAAAAAAAGACAGTTCCCAGAATAATGGAAACCAAAGCGAATCTAGACTTATAGACAAGCATGAAATACAAAGGAAGACTTACACTTTCCAGTAAGATTCCGATGTTTTTTCTGTGTACATTTATTTTTCCAGGAATTTTTTTCTAGGGCTAACATTTGGAGTTAGAGGACAGATGTGCTTTCTTGAACGAATACATGGCCTACTCATTCTAGTCAAATTAGTAATTGCTCTTCCAGAACGCAATGCAATATTTCTAGAGCAGGCAGTACATCTAGAAATAACATAACAAGTTCTTATAAACATTGGTCCTACAATCATGGATTACCGAAATACATTGTGTAGTGAATTTCTGTGCAATTGATGGGACTGAATAAAGACAAAACATGAATATTGCTCAAATACGACACTACACTACATACAACTTTCAATGACAAACTTGCCTTCAACTGTAGTTTGACAAACACTTCTCAAGAAAGACGGCTAATGTGAAATCAAATATATTAATTTTGTTTCGAAAAAGACTGTGGCGAACAAAATAATTTTCTTTTTCCTTCTGCAGACGTCAAAATTTCCCCATGTTTAAACCACTGGTATAGCCTGCGCAGGACCTGAGTTGATAGCTTAATAGATTCCAAGGATATACCATATATTTCAAATTCGACCCTGACCTATAAATGAGAGCAAAGTTGCGCAATTAGGTGGCACTTTTAGTTTTAGTAAAAAGTTACGCAATTCCGAAGCTAGACGAAAGAAATAGAATTTTCTCAAACACTTTGTCTTTTTCCCTAAGTTCACTTGAGATGAGATTTCAAAATATAAAGTACATTAACATTGCTACTTCTCAAACTCTACAATTATTTGTAAAGCTAGAATTTCAAAATAAATTTTCGTCTGCTGTTTTCAATTATCAATATTTTTTCTTATAGACGCCATATTGTTTCCTGCACATGTCAGTAGAATTTTTAATCCAGACTCATACATGTATTTATATAATCATCCAAGCTTTCCGTCAGTTTTTATAACTAGGCATAGGTGTTTTCGATTTTAACGATCTGGTATGGTGCATTTATCATGGTATTATGAAACTTCGAATCAAGGAGAACCTTTTGCTGAAACTTTTTCATATTATTTACCTAAGGGTCGTATTGAAAACATTGAAAAGATTATTATTTTATGTAAAGTATAGAAACATTTTAAAGTAAGTAAAAGCCTCGACCATGTTGCAGCTTCCTAAACACGCAACTATAACAATATCAGTTTTTTCGAAGTAACTATTCACCTTCGCATAAAACCAATAAGGCGCCCTATGAGAAAAAAATGGATGATTAAGGACAACAGATGAAAACTCGGTTTCTTTTGTTTATCTCTGGAAATACTCGGCATTACAACACCGTCCCATTTTCTTAGTTATCTGAATGCTCAACTTTGGCCCCGTTAACAGACTTTACGAGCATTTCTGAAATCCCAATGATCAGTCGAATTGAAAACACACATTTCTTTTCTAAAAGAAACATTTCGTGTTACTATGGATCTACTTCTAGCCCTAGACGAGTTGTCACTGTTTTCTGGTTCACCCGGTATGATAATAAAATAACTACACTCTCGCTCCCTTCAAGATTATCAGGGCAAATGCGGCGTCCTCAAAGTAGGGACAAACAACTATGGTTGTTGAATACAGTCTCAAGATTTTAGATATTTGCTTATTAAACTATCTGTTATCGTGGAAAAATTCTTTTTATTTCAGGAAAACTTTTGTAGTAACACCCGAAAAAAGACCAAGTGGACCAATAACAATTAATCTAGTGAACGGAATCCCTGTTACAGAGCCTCAAGAAATGACAACCACCGTACCAACAACAACTACTACGGAAGATAATGAAGTCCCAGAAGATACCACCGGGTTTGTCAACCCCTTCAGTTTGAAGTGATGTATAGTAATTACATTATATAAGTTTGTTTATTAGAAAACTATTTTGGAAGTAGTTAGTGAACAGAAAAAATATAATTTTGATTACATCTGATTAATGCTAATCCTTGATTTTGGTCCGGTTGATGGAGATATTTTGCGCTACAAAAGTGAATTTTATTTTAAATATAGGACAGAATGTATTTTTTTTGCTACGCAACCAGTATTGACCTCATTAGCTTTTAACTCCATAGGTCAATAGTGTCAGTTTGATATGTCAAAATCCATCAAGTCGTTTGAACTGTAGCTCGTAAAATAGAATTTATTGTTTACATGTATAGATACCCACCTGCGCCAAACACACAGATTTTTTAAGGTGATGCACTTATTGTAGCATGCTGAAATTTTCATGGATTGAAATAGTTTTAACAATTTAATGAATAATGAAATACTACCTCAATTTTTTACCGCCTCCAAAGTTGAGGGATGGAAGAGATTTTTCACAAAAAAATAAATTCAAGATTTTTTGCGTTGATTTCTAATTTGTTTAGTTAAAACGTGACATAACTATTGCTAAAACTAACCATTTAGCTCATCTCAAAAAAAACACAACCGTACACCTAATGGTTTAGTTGTAATTATTGCCATTGAAAGTTTATTATCCACTATTAACACCCTGTATATGTTTGATATCTATAACTTTTAGGCCCGTATCGTCAGTCGTTCCTACAATTGTAGGGCGCGTTTATGGCCTCCTTGATTGTCATAGTCCTTTCTCTCCTTCAAAAATTTCTAGATTACACTTGTCCCGTGTCAGCGTCAGCGCTCTCCTATTGTGAATATGTTTTCCTTTAAAATTGTAGGAAATTTCAGGCGGATAAAACATGATATAACTCAAAAGCAAGCACAATTTGATGCAAATAGATGTTTGTGACATAACATCAAAATAGAGCGCTGACACGGAGAAGTAGAAAACTATGACAATCAAGGAGGCCATAAAGGCGCCCTACAATTCTAAGGACGACTGACGATACGGGCCTTAAACACCTAAATGGCACATAGACCGTTTTGAACTTAAGGTCTTCACTCCCTTTTCTCTTCCATACCCTTCCCCTCAATGAGCATGCACCATGAGGAAGCTCCGCTGGTTATCACCTTCGACAATTGCTTCAAGTTGTCAGACATCCAAGTTTGAGCAATCCTGCAATCAAAAACGCAACAAAAATCATCCAAGTTAAGTATAAAAGGAACCGAAAAGAAGTGGCTGATCGTCTCACCGAGACGTCACGCGACGCGTTGCTGGGCGTCAGCGTGAAGCGTCGTGCGTCGGCTTGAAGCGTCGGAGAAGTTGCCTGCGCGTAATAATAGAGAATAAGAGTTCTTCTTTTTAATAGCGGGATCCTTGTACATGGTTCGCGTATAATGATCCCGTGATTCATTAACCGCACACCGGCTCATTAATAGGAGCTGAAAGCGCCACAAACAGTGGCGGAGATGGATAATTTGATTAAAAGAACTTGAGTCATCTGGCCGTATCAAAGCTTTGTTATACTCAAAAATTACTACACTATAATGATATATGTACTAATTTGGAAAGTGTAGTTCCAGCTCAAGTCATCAAATGCACAGACGCCGGACTAAGGGTCACATGTACGAACGATGCAGGATTGAGTACCGTTTGGAGAATGAGCCGTCCTTGGATTTTACACAAAAAATAATGCACTCTTTAGGGACTTTCAATGGAAGATTAAACATTTTCATCTCCCAGTAGGCTGTAACAGTTATCATCACAGGCTGTCATCGCTGTCAGAAAGATTTTTCTCATTTTGATGATACATTTTCCACGTCTAATTGTGCTAAATTTTAGTGGGTAACGCAAAACACAGATGATATGCCTTTTCGATTTCACAGCGAATAGCGATTTTATATCAGACATACTAGGCTAAATGCACGCAACCAGTATCGCAATAATCTGCAATGCTTGTTGTGGAGCATGCTTAACAGTTTGAGCGTATTATGCTGCAGTAATTTTTGAAATATTTTGTCCACAATCTCTACATCTATCGAAGGTCTTTTTTTTCATAACAAGAATATAGTATATTATAGAAAACGACATTATAAAGATTGCATTCATTTGCCTAGGCTGTTGTTATACAATAATTGATCTAGTTACTTTTGTTTAATGTTTTCTAGTCTTTGCATGTTCTTTCCACTCTGTTGTTCTCATTATGGATCTTTGTATCTTAATATTCTATTCCAAGCACGGCCTTTAAAATAGAGTAGCTGCTTGATTGTTTTATTAGTATCTATTTCTTTTAACTTGTTCAGTATTGGTACTAATAACATCTTCTACCCTTTGACTTTTTTAATTCATTGTTACTCATTATCCATCCTGGATTATATCAAAAATGTACGATTGAATAATAAAGCAGTAAGTGTATACCCAAGAGTGCCTCTTTTATCTACTACCCTATTTTGATATAGTAGTGGTAGTAGCAGCCAAAGAAGAAAAGTGTTATAGTAAACATATTACAATAAATGTGAATATAATACAATGTGAGTTAAAAGTATTTGTTGCACCACACTATAAGCAAAACAAGATAAAAAAAGTTCATTATGTCTAGACTATTTAGGCAATAAGCGAACTGGTGTTTTTGTTATAGTAGTGTTCAAGATCAAAACTAGAATAAAATAGCTACTTGTTAAAACACTACATAAAAAAAATAAAATGAAAACATTGCTTACTGATTAGGAGAATTTAAAAATTCATTCATAGAGTAAAAACATTTATCGCTTGAATACTTAAAAACCTTATTTTTAAATTTCATATAGCCCCCTATATCTCGCAGATCTTGAGGTAGATATTATACAATGATATGCATATAATCATGACTTACCTTTTAAAGAGGTGAATACCGAGCTGTAAGTCTTCTTATTTTTCACAGTTTTTGACAGTTCAGAGTAAACCATAGGGCATTAATTTCATACATCCATCTCCCTCACACATACAAATGCAATTGGCCTACATGGCGTTTACTAATCTTCGATATAAAACATAGCAATGCTGAAAAATACAACTACAATGTTGACAGTCTGTGATAGATTTATCATAGTACTTTTGAGAAGAGAGAATGAAAACAATACCCAGTTCATGTGTGTGTACAAGAGCAAGTAGCAGTTGCGTTGCGGATCGGCTTGCGCAGTGTGCAATTTCCTAAACATGTTGCTTTCGTCCGTCCGACCAAAAGACAGACAACCATGGACAGCTGTCTCGTGCTTCCTGGCTACTCATCAGCATGGTTTAGGCTTTGTCTCCCGTCTCTGTTGGGGATCTCATTACACGTTTATTAGTCCAGGCGCCACATGACCGCTAGATGACTGACGATTCTGGCTGAAGAGTAGATGTGACGTAACCGCCAAAAATCCATTATTAGAGAAATCTAGTGATATAGCGATTGTTTCTACTTCAAAATTTAATCACTAATTGCCTCTTGCCGTCTAACTGTTTGCAAAATTTCAATCAAACAGAACCATTTTTACTGGATGTTCAATCTTCCTTGTCACAGTATATTTTTATAAATTCAATTTTGTTGTTATTATGCTGGACCCACTCTATGTAAAAAATAGTTTGAATAGGCACATACTGTATGTCAAAAATACCTTGGAGATGCACACCGTCCTGCAAAAGGATAAGATTTTTGAGTTTCTAGTGACTGAAATGATATGGGATTCTCTCCTATTAACGATAAGGGCAGATGATAAAATGTGTTACGTTTCTACCTACGACAATGGGCACCGCAAAGTTTGATCTCGAGGCAACAGAGTAAACTTGCAACCTTCTCGGAAATTAAATTTAATGACATTGGAATTTATTGGGAAGCAAAAACCAACACAGAAATGAAGTTCGTTAATTGTTCAGTCTCCGTCCATGTCGCACCGCGTCGCAATCATTTTTGTATTAATGAGGTGCTATTGACTCTAATCACTGTTCTTTTCTTTTACGTCAGCCGAAAACATTGTTGATGAGACCATCTGGTCCACCTGCAGAAGCTGTCTGGATATGATTAACCTTTGGAGTATTGTTGTAAGTATTCTTTAGTTTCGTAGAGTGCTGGACCGAGGAGCTAACCTATTGACTCATCAGTGGAACAAAGCGTTTCTCTTGGGAATCCTTGAATCTCCTCAGACTTCTTTTGATTTCATCCGATACAGTTTTCCATGTAGTGCAATGGCGTCAAAAAGATGTAGGCTTTGTCAGACTCAGCAATGCACTATTTGGGCTTGTGTCCGTACACAGTAGCCTCATTTCCTTGAACCTCTGGCCTGGCTTGTCAACAATGTTCGATAGCTGACGATAATAGCTCTTGATAGGTATTCATGTATTCAAGCATAACGCTGTGTCTCAAATTTGTCTGTCACCATTGGGAACGAGGCAGCCGCAAGAGATACGAAGTCGGTTAAATCGCGGCAAAGTAGTGTTTTTGGGTAACTAAGAAAATGACGAGATAGACGAGAGAAACCTAATTTTCTCAAAATCGTATTTATTTTTCCTGACATTCTTTGAGGTGGGATTTCAAAATGAAAAATACACTAACATTGCCACTTCTCCTGTACAAGATGACGTAATTAAAACTTCAATATGACGTTTCGTCTTTTTTGCCCAATCTTCAACTATATTTTTCTTATAGGCGCCATATTGGACTTTTGCAAACGCGAATATAACTTTTATTTCTGATGCCAATAATGTACTTCTGATGTGTGATACATTGACATCTCCAATTATTTGTTTCATAACATAATCAGCCAAGCATTCTTTCAGTTTTAATGTAGTAGGCAGAGGTGAACAGTTCCTATTTACGTTTTTAATGATGTGATAATTTATATATCACGACATGGTTTGATATCATAAAACTCCAAAGAATGTCTAAGCAAATACTCTTTCTATCTTAGCTCGTCAAATGAAGAACAACATATTACTCATACTGTTTCACATTATTCAATGGTCGTATCGAATACATTGAGAATATTATTACCTTATTTTCTATAAACGGAATAGCATACTTCCTAGGCACATTCCATATCCGCCAAATCTAAACCGATATGTACATCCAGTATTCAAATGTAGAGAGCCTTCATCGTGCTAAAATAACAGCTGTTACAGTGGCTAAATGGGTAAAGTATCTAAATGTATTTTAAATTGTCAAGAATAACTATGAAAATACCAGTTTTTATTATCATATTCTAGTTATTTAAGTGCACAACTTTGCCCCCATTTAACTGACTTCGTATCTCTTCCGAGATCCCAGTGCCCGAATTCAAAACCCGGCATACGTAAAATCACATCCCCTGTATGTTAATATCGCGTCACCGCGCCGCCGTCTGCTACTTGCTCCTGGAAGTCCCTCAGATCCCCTACAATCCCGTAGCGCACGGTTAGTGCCATTGATAGGTGCGCGATCCGTCAGTTGAAGAGGTCTTGAGCGCAAATGTACGGGAGAATCTATGATGTATGATATGAATAATAGATCCGTAGAATTACCGGGAGTTGGAGTACGTTATATATAATATATAATAATTATAATAAACTCAAAAAATTGTGATACATCCTTTTCACCCCCTACAGTCCCCCAAACACGCTTTTAAAAATAATCAGGACCTTCGGAAACGTCAAAGGATGGAGTTTCAGCGATTTGAATTTTTTCGTTTTTATCATTTTTCTCCACCGCCACTCGACATATCTGCAAAAACTACAAAGCTCTTTCGTCATTGGCAAAATTTCGTTCAAGCATGGTTTTTCGTGATGCAATACAACACTTAAAAATACAATATTTCATTTTAAAATTTTTTTCGGGATTACAATACTTGCTCGCCAGTAGACATGGTAAGTAAAAATGGCGGCCCTGCACTCTATGTTTGGCTTAAAAAAATAGCTTCGAGCATGTATCAAAAATGAATGAAATGAATTAAATGAATTCCAGTTCCCAGCCATTTGACAATATTTCGATTCAGAAATTTCTCGTCTGCTCTACCGACCATTCAACAACGTTGCAATCACAGTTCCAATGAGTAAACATCGCCAGAGGCATCGGCCATCTCGCGACAGGTTTAACTTGTACTTCCATCGCGCTTGATCGTTGCTTGACAGCTAGACGCGAGTATTAGAAATACTTCATTCTAAGACTCGATGGCAAATGTCTGGAAATGTCTGAATGAGAAATACCTATGTCTAATATGTGCATTGAATTACCAGGGCTAGAAGTGTGTCAATATATTGAGCCGTATTTATAAAAGAGAAGCATATCCTCGGAAGCATAAGGTATAAGTATAAGGTTTTGCTTCGGAGAAAAAGGAAAAAGTATAAGCATATCCTTGTTTTCATATTCATAATGATTAACCGTATACTCGCAAGGATATCCTTCAAGAAGAAGTAAAAGGTTTACTGGTATTTGTATCTTGAGCGACATGTCCTGACTTGTTCCAGCTTGTAGTTGACCTGGGAGTTCATTCACTCAGCATCACTGACAGTTGTACTCCAGAGCTTGCACAGACTGTTCCGTGTTTTTACTGGATATTGTTTTTTATCAAATTGATAAGCATGTCATCCTCAAGTGACGAGGAAACTATAGAAAATAACGGCAACGACTTGCAGTTCATCGCAGATGAAATTGCCATTGCTCCCATTATTTTGCAAAAGTCACAAGTCCCAAAAACAAAAATGAGAAAGGACGATGCCTTGAAGAAGATGTTGAAAACATACGAATCAACATTCGGTAAACCATTAGACACTAAAGGCTTATTCAAAAAAATCAACAACATGAAATTAAGATTGAAAAAAAAACGGATCTAAAAAAACTGGTAATAAAGCAATTAAATTGTTAGATTGGGAAAGAAAGTTGCTGAAAGCTATGGATGGTGACTGTAATCCTACAATTGGAAAATTTAAGGTGCCATTCAGATTGGTAGTATTCAAGAAGAAGGAAGTAAACTATATACCGAGCGCAGTGAGCAAACAGTTAGTATTACAGCGCCAGCAATTCAGAAGACATTGCCACCAAAAAGAAAATTAGCAACAGAGAAATACGAAACTAAGGAAACCAAAGGGTTAACTACAAAAGAACTGCAACGTCTAGTGCTATTACAGCAGTACCAAACAAGTATTTTACAACAAGAGTATTATAAAACGAAATTAGAAATGATGCAGACCTAGTTGGCGGGGAGGGAGTTCGTCATTCTCATGATTTCCTTAATCTTCATCTGTTTCTTCGACTAACTCAAAGTCAGGATCGCCCAAGCTCTTCGCAGCATTATGGAGTACAATACAAGCAATAATTATTTTCGGCACATTTCCAACTTTACGCGGAAAACATACTGTAGGATAGGAAACCGGCGTTTCAGTTGGCCGAAACAGCGTTCAGTTATAACTCTTTCTTGTTTTAAAAGCTTA